CGTTTGTGAACCTAAAATTATTAGCTCATGCTAGCAGTATAATTTATATTTTGTTTATCTTATTATAACTTATGGCAGTGAAATAAAAATTCGGAACTGCGAAATATTTTTTTCCTTTATACTTCAGTACTGAAGAAAATAATATAAAATACGCATAAGAAAACGAAAAATTGAAATCAAAAAATATTTTTTTCTTCATGAAAACACACACTGCAAACGCTACAGTAACAAAATCACTTAAAATAAATTTCCTCAAGACTTTCTTTGAACTGAAATGACATTTAATTTTTAGAAAATTCCAGTGTTTTTCGAAGATGTAATTATGAAAAAAAAAAAATGATTATTAGCTCATATTAAACTGTTAGTTTGTTGTTAAGTAGTAACTAGCAAATTAATAGTAAAGTAGCAAGTTTAAAGTAACATTTTTTCAGCCTGATAATAAATTCAATTTAAAATAAGTTTTGTTTCCAGTTTAAGGCTCTTTGGCGAAGAACGCTCGTCAAATTAAAAAAAAAAGAAGCAACATAAGCAGTTTTTATCAGATCTAAAATGATAATTTGAAGTTCATTCACTTCAAAATATAATATTCTTGTCAAATATTGCGACCCTAACTCCAAATTGGCGACATTTTTGTTCAATCTATAGCAGTACTTAGTCCTATTTGAAATATTTAATTGGCTCACATAATGAGGCCTTAGCAAGCGGAGGGCGGCATGTGGAAATTTGGCGACAAAAACGAAGCAATTGGCGACAATGAGTAAAGGTCAATAAACTAAATAATAATGGAGGAAAAAGAAGCTTATTTGTTTTACCTACTTTCAATAATGTCCTTTTATGCATCCTTTTTAAACACTAAATCATGCTGTTAGATATACCAGTTACATCTGCTTGACTTTCACTACCTCCTGTTTCCTTTGTTCCCCTACCGAAAAGTGTAATCAATATCTGCCCCGATCAAAGATATAAATACTCCATCCTACTTCTTTTTCGAACAAGTCTGAAGGAAGATAGAATATCCGACTCGTTTTCGTTACAATGACGAAATCGGTGACAAGAAAGGGAAGAATAGAACATCACGGCTCGGGAATGTGAGAATATTAGAACTTTTCTTCCAATGTTATTTGTTCTTGAGTGTTCCTCGGCAGTTGTTCGAAATTATTGGATTTTAGACGATTCGATAACTATAATTTTGGACACGAGAAATAATTTTTTTTTTGCTGAAATAAAGAAAAACGAAATTCTGTTTCTGTCTGAACAATTTATTTATTATTACATTTTATATCTCAATTCGTACCCGGCATTTTTCGCTTATTATGACGTAGGGTTTTTCCTTTCCCTAAAAAGAACTGGGAAGTAATATTTGTAACATACTTTTTTTTTAATAACAAGATCCTTTATACTTAACCAGCTTAATACATGCGTGAAGAATAATAATAAAAAAATGCATGTTTATATTAAAACGTAATAAAAACTACAATAGCGGAACACTAAAATAATCCACTAAGGCAGTGTTTCCCAAACTTATGACTTTTGTGTACCCTTTCCAAATTTATCATAACGCTGTGCACCACTAATAAAAAAATTTATGTATTTTTAACTATAAAAAGAATTGAACTAAAGTTAAAAATCATAACTTGCTGTTGACACCACTAATTATTAACTGTTAACTCTGCAAAATATAGCCAATAGAAAAATACGTAATCGTAAATTTTCATGGCTAGCTTTGTTCTTAAACAAAAATTTTCGAAATTTTCGTTAGTTGCAAGATATTTCGAATAAGAACGTGTAGCCCCGCTAAACTGTTCCCGTACCCCTGGGGGTACGCGTACCACACTTTGGGAAACACTGCACTAAGGCATCGGTTACCATTTTTTTCCGGTTTTGGAACCCTAAATGAACGAGCTTTTTCTGGCGGAACTTTAGTATTATGTATGAAAAAAATTCATTAGCAGTTGTGAATATATCAATAAAAAAAAGTCTAAATATACCAACTATTAATATAAAATTTTTAAATTAACGATTCAGATATAAAAAATAAAAAAATTTAATTGCTCATAATGCTATGAGATTTCACTTGATTACTAAACGTTGTCATAAATTTCGCTATGCGTACCACATATGTGGACCTGCATGTTTTTGACTGCATTATTTTTAAATATTAAATAAAAGTTGTGATGGCCTTATTACTATCACTGGTCACCCATTGGTCAAATGCTTTTTCCTCTCTGGATTGACTCCGTTGAACGCCACAACATTTCATATCATGGGTTGCAAAAACTGTCTCAATTGATGCTTGTCGTCGGATTGGTTTTCGAATCCTGCCTATGTACGTGTTTCAAGACGTCGCAAAATACTTTTTCTTCTTCAGCATTCATATTCATATTAAAATCACAGTCAAGCCAGTAATTATACATTAATAATAAAAAGAATATAGAAATTCTTTAAATTATTATTATGTAAATACATTAAAAATGCCTGCTAGTGAAAATAAAAAGAGCAGTGGTTGCCATAGCAACGCATGTGTTGCCACTCACATTAAGTTTATCATTTCCGTCATGTTTTCTTTTAGTTAATTTTGTATTACATTATCTTTTGAGTTTGTGAATTTGGCAATTGGGTATAATATAGCCTACGTCACAGGTTGTGTTGTTCCTACTAAATTTAACCCATGAACGGCATTTTCTGCGAGCCTAACTTAGAGCCACAAATAAACAAACGAAGTGTTCGATCGTTTAAATAGCTGCTCGCCAGATTTTATTGTATTATAAAGAAAAGTTATTGAAACTAAATGCAACTAAATAAACAACAACAAATAAAACAAATAACAACTACTAATAACAATAGCTGAATAAACAACAACTAAATTCCATTCGTTTAGCATTGCGTCATATGTTGTTCCTACTAAATCGAAGTAGTTGTGTTTTTTTCATATTATACCCAATTATATTTTAGGTTCTTTTTTATGCTTATAATATTAAGTAAGAGAACCTATGATAGGTTACGTTTAAAGGAATTTTATACGATTTTCATCTTTATGATGTACAATTATGCATCCAACAAACTTGTAAATAATATATTATGTAATTAAACCTATTATTCCGTGTGTTGTATTGTAAAATAAAGTAATTAGAAGCAAAAGATTCTCGAGTCATAACAGCATGCAATGACGACACGTGCGCACAGTTTACTCTTGAACACGAGGGGCTCTATTGAACACAGTTGAAAAGTGTGTTGACGTCACCAAATCCAAACCAAGACACATTTTGCCAATGGGTTAAAAAAAAAAAACTAAATTATTTTAAAGTATTTAAAATGAAGAATGAAAGGATTATTTTAATAAATTAGTTCTCGCTGTATGCTGAAAATGAACAAACTAAGCTGAATTATTGTTTTCAGAAAAGAAATGTCCTAAACGTTGAACAGTCAATAACGAAACGTAATTCCTCATTTTTGAATTTTTTTATAAATGCACATTCTTTTCATAATTTATTCAATATATTGTTATAAAAATACTTGGCTGCTTTTTTTCATTGGTCATTTATATAAATAGGTTCATATAACAAGCGAACCAATACTAGAACCTCTCATTTACGTTTATTAAACGTCTCGGAAACGTTTTAGGCGGTGCAAAGTAAAATTATTGAATTGTTGTAAAATAGAAAGCAAACTAATATTTTTAAAAAGCAAAACGAAAAAAATAAATAAATAAATAAATAAACAAAACGGGTATAAATGGTATGTAAATCACGAAAGACATGCTAGTCATTTTTTGGATATAGTACTATGTTTAGAAGCCTACATAAATGAACTATTTTGTGTTCTTATGCATTACATTATTCCTAACAATTCCAAAAATTTTCTAAGTTTTATGACATAATGCATATTTTATGAAATACTCAACAAAATTATTTTTTTTCATTGTGAAAATGCTATGCACATCAAACATTGCTGTAAAATATAATCGTTTTGATTAAGCAATTTTATATCCAGATTAAATTCGAGTAGAAGTGTCTAGTACGCATGGAATCTGGAATATCACAGGGAATAGATAGATGGAAGGATGAATTACAATCTCGTTGTGGTAAAATGTAAATTAGCATCAAACATCCTATTCGTTCAGGTGACAGGCTCGTGCAGATAAAATCTATAACAGGACATTCCTGATACACGGGAAAACAATTACCAAAATGTAATTTAGAGAGCAGCAAACGATATCAGTAAGTTTGACTTGTGATCGGATAAGGTACTCATGAAAGTTTAATGGCGATCGTCTGCGAGTTGTAGGTAAAATTGTTCGCCAGTTCTATTAAATCAAACATGATTCTTAATAGCATAATATTTTAGCCTATTCTATGATTTATCTATCATATCTAATTAATCGAACGAAGTATAAAAATAAGGTTTGATAGCAGTAATACAGGAAAAAAAAAAATCAAAGCTTTGTAGAAAAGGAAACTAACTACTAGTAGAAGCAAAATGTTCGGTTTAATAAAAACTAACTAGATTGCAATTCTTTCAATAAATTCAAGATGGCTAACATTCCGACAAAACCAAGTTAATTCTCTAAAATTTCCAGACAAAATTCTGAAAAATTTAATCAGTTTTCATTATTAATGAAGTTCTTTTTTAATTCAAAAACACATACATTAAGAACTTCTGCTAATTTTTTTTTTTTTGAAACTAAGATTGTTCATTATTTATAAAGTTTTCGGGCTTTAAACATAATAAAAAAGCATTTTGATAATTTTAATTTAATGAATAAACTATTAATATCCTTACAGATTTAAATCGATTTTCGAAAATGTTTATTATTCTAATATTTTAATAAATTGTTTCAAAGAAAGTGCTTGCTTCACAGTGAGTCAAAATAACAAAATTATTGATTAGATACTGTTGATTTTCTAAGAACTCTTGACAGATTGGTTACCCTGGAATTAAACTTAATGCGCAGCTTAATAACTTGCATCATATTTCTGAAGAATGCAGTATTAAGATCTTACCTGCTTGTTTTTGTTAATCCTTTAGTAGTGTGTACGTTCCAATTGTTGGTCACACTTTTTGTTGTTTTTGTAATCTCTTTGAAGTTAGTGTACTTTTTTCTTAGTTTTCACCAAGGCACAACTTTATGATTCAGTAATTGATTGACCACAAACTTTATGCAACAACAAATGCACTTCACACCACATTTACCAATTACGTCAATTCAACTGAAATATCCCTCCGCGCTTACCTGAAAGGAGAAAATAGTGACTGTTATTATCAAAACGAAGTAACATATAAAAGTAATGCAAAAACTTTATGAACAGACTGTTAATAAACGAGGAAATGTGCAGGCAATAAGAAGGGATAGCATGAATAAGTCATTGAATTTTAAAATTTTTGCAATTTTTAATTTTTTTCAAAAAAAAGAAGAAAAAAATAGCTAGTATTATTTTATCTATTTACTTGTTTTAAAATCTCCATACATTCTCCAAATCTCCATAAGAAGGTAATTCTCATCTTACCATTTCGTGCATTTTCATTGGACAGAAAAATCACATGGCATGTTTTTTAATGTATGAAGGAGATCTGATTGTCTTTGGCTGTCATCATAAAATTAATAAAAGTTATAGCGGTAATAACCAGAAAATTATTTGTTTATGGCTTATTTAACAGCATTTACCCGTAATATTTATTTAGTAAGATTATTATATATACTAATAATATTATATTATATATTAATAATATTATATATAATATAATATATTATTCTATGCATTATATTTATAATACATATTACATAATAATATTATTCCTTTCTAAAGACTATTCGCGATCGCAACGCTCGAGTACGCCGTCTAGCGGGAGACTGTAAATATCAGACATTAATTTATCACGTTTTCATTTAGTTCCATCAAAGTCATTGACTGAATCAGACGCCATTTTTTAGCAGCAAATAAGAAACAAAATTTCCCTAAGGAAAAGGCCGAAGAACTTGAAAAAAATCTCCAGAATATTAGTAAATCTTTCAGGAACAGAACACGCCAAACATTTGAAGAAAAATTCCTCAATAATTTTTAATTTCTATTATCAACAAACTTGCAACTGATGACTTCCGATTTCGGATACTGTTACAGATGTGTGTATTAAGGTAAAATGCATT